AAATTACTTGAGGTATAACATGCAAACTCCTTGGTTTCTAGGAGATATGTAAATGGTTCAGTCGTATTTTTAATTTGTAAGGAAATAGTGCCAGGTTTCTAGTTAGAAACTGAAGCCAAATCCTTATCCATGGAACTCCATGGAGAAAGACATATCTTAGAGATGAATACAAATCAATAATATACATTATTCTTATCCAAACATTTTCCAACATTATATCTAATTTGCTGGTCATGATATTCCCACAGCCCTGGGTGCTTCAAATCAGATGTGAACTCTTACTCTTTTTTAAACACCTCCCATGTTACTCTTTGGTATAGCTCTGGGACTTGATCTGATCAAAACAGACTCTATTCAACTTCCATAGTAAAATCTTACCTTGTATCTGTCAGAACCTGTCTAACTCCCAAATTATGCCTCACTATCCCCATAGATTCCAATCATCTGGTCCTGAAAACAAATCTCAGCCTCTGGAAGTCATTCCAGCCCATCATTATCAGAGATTTGCTACACAGTTCTCATTGCCAGATTAGCTCTGATCTCATGCTGCACTGACTGGGCTTCATTCTTGTCTCCAACACTAGACTTTCTGGTAACCAATTCCTGTAAACACATCTGTCTGTTTCCAGGACCAAATTCCTGACTTAGAAACCTGTTGAGAACCACATTCTCTCTAAACTTGGGAGCCTGCTATGTTCTTAGTCTCTATTCTTATTATATTGGGGGACTGAAGGTATGTTCCATAACCTCCGGCTAAATATCTGACAGGTGACTCTCAGTATCTGGAGATCTATGCAGGGGAGTATTCAATGGTCTGAGCCATTGCAACGTTTTTGCTGCTAAGCTTATGGACACTGACTGCTTTCTTGGGTTGTTACCTGTTGTCTCATGCTGTATACTCTGTATCTTCCAGAAGTAGATTTACTCCCAGAAGATGTACCTACCTCTCTGTGCCTTCCTTTGCCTATTTTACCTCTGTGGGGAAATCTACTTCTGAATCTTTTCCTTCCCTAC